ATGAAAGTTTTTGTGGAAGCTGGGGAACGAGATGGGAAACAGAAGGGTTTTGCCAAGATTCATTTTAGCTGGTGGGTGGTTAGGGGCCTGTAGGCAGCAGTTCTTCATCACGCATCGTCTTGAGTAGCTGCATTGTGACTGACAGCAGCAGGGGAGGCTGGGGAAGAAATTTTTCTAGGATTTTCACTATAGCTGCCTTGTAACATTCTTGAGCCCTTCCTGGTCCTTCAAGGAGAAGGTTTATGGGGCATTTGAGATGCACCACACTTGCACAGCGGCCATATGAAAATCCACATGTTGGATTTCATGACCCGGTGCATTCATGAGAAGGGGGACAGTGGAAACCTTTTATGCTTTGGTCCACCAGTACATGACATCTAAGTTGTCCTAGCCACTGCTTAACAAGGAGCTAGAAGTGGGTCAGGAAAAAAACAAACAAACAAACAGACTGGGATTCATTAGGGGCTCTGTTCATCACTGTTTAAGCCCAGACAAGGATACTGGTATTTGTCTACCTAAATATATGCATTAGTACCCTTTGAGAGACCTTTATGCTCCTGGAGGGGCAGCTGGTGCTGAAGAACAATGTTTTACAGTACCTTAAATAATGCTAGATGCTAATATTTAGACACTTGAATTCATCCCAGAGGTTGGGATTTTGCTCATAGGTTAAGATATCTAAATTGAGGTGCCTCTGTGAGAGCTGAGTCCCTAGGCTCCCGTTAGTGAGTAGAGATGTGGTCAGCACAGTTGGAGCCTGGAGAGGTGTTCAGCAGAGTGTATGCAGGTGTCTACTGCACTGCAGGATCCTCTGCCTGCTTTGGCTCCTCTGAGTCAGATCGGAGTTTAGAGGTGTTTCCCAAATGTAGGCATTTAAACTCAAACGCCTGCCTCAGGTCAACCCCGGATGGATGGTGGGATTCAAGTACCTAAACCTACATGCCTATTCCTGCCTGAAGTTCCGCTGCCAACTGCTAGCTGCCAATCTGTCGGGATCTGGATTTGCAACACGTGTTGTGCCGTATCTACCGGCCGCATGTGGACACCTTGGGTATGTTGCCCCTGCAATGCCGGCTCTCCCACTGAGCTCTGGAGAGGTGGCTCCTGATGGCAACAGCCCCATGTCCAGGATCCCTTCCTGCATTTCACCACCACGCCTTGTTCAGCCAGCTCTAAATCCAGCCAAGATTGTGCACGGGGAGCGTGTCTACCAGCGGAGCCAATTCCTGTTGGTTTCTTGCTTTCCCATCTCCTGTACAACGGTGGTCGTCTCCTTTTCCAGGTGGAGCAGATGCGAATGGGCTGGGGGAGGTGGAAGGGTTGAGAAAAGCCTAAACTGATGAATGACTGCAGTGTGCAGCCCTTCTGCAAGGATCTCAGCAATTTTGCCCAGTTTGCTGATGGTCTGGGCGTGAAATCAGGTATGGGAGCTTTGTTTCACATGAACTCAGCTCTCACTTCTGGACAACCAGTGAAATGTGACTTTACATAAGGGACAGTATGGGTGAGGGTTGGGGTTTTCTGTTTTTTTTTTGTTTTTTTTTTTTTTTTTCTTCTCTGTGTTGAAACGTGTTCTGTACACTCTTGTCTAACATTGTGGGATTTCTTGCAGAGTTGGCTAGACACTTTGGCACGCAAAGCGTGACAGCCCCTAACCAAGCCGGCCCAGCTGAGTACTATAAGCAGTAACACATCTCTCTCTGTAACCCGTCACTTGTTTGAATGCTACTGTGTATTATTGGATTGCATTTGAAAAGGTCTTGGCTGTCACAGGAATGAAGTGTGACCATTGGCCAGGCTTTGCTGAAGGCCGTATTATGCATAGTGTCTTTCTAAAAATGTCTCTGTAATATCAGGATTGGGCCAGACCCCAATTCTGAGTCCATGACCTATTGCACATTTGCACATGGTGCTCAGCAGGACTCATGCAGCCAAATAATTAAGAACCGGATGGTCAGGAAATGGACTGAAGCCAGTTCTCTGCTGTCATGAGGCCATAATGTAGGCAGATGCCATAATGGGCAGAGGGGGGAGATTTTTTTTTTTCCTTTTTTAGATACCATAGATGCCCAAAGGAAGGACACTTTCAGTAGCATCTTGACAGGAGGCATCTCTATAAAACAAACTCTGTTCTAGCTTGCTATTTTAAGGGGTGGTTATACCTTACCCATTTAAAATCAAAATGTAACCTATTTTGGGGGAAGGGGCAGGGAGGGAGAACTAGAACTATAAATATCTGTTTATAATCTGTGGACAAAATGTAAGTTATCTGGGACTGTCCAAATAACGTGTCTGCTCTCCTGTTGCCCAGCAAGGAGTCCAAGGCATAAACCTATCTCTGGAGAAGGTGGGGGAGAACAGTTGCCATTTTTAAGGAGATGGGTGTGATTTTGTGCCATGAAGCATCTCTGTTGCAGCTTGGTTTAAAAAGGATGGGATCGTTGGTTTAGCATCAGTCAATTTATGGGTAGGGGGTCCTTTACAGCACCTGGGGGGCTGTTACCACCTTTGTCTCTCACCAAGATGAATAACCACTGACTCTCTTTGCTTTCTTCTTTTCCCTTCCTGATACTGCTTCTCCTTCCCATGGTGCTTTTTCTGTTGAAAATAACCTTGACTTTCCACTCCCTCCATCTCATACGTGACCACCATGGTTCCACTGGCTCTGCTCTTCCTTTTGTACTTTACACTGTGATGGTATGAAGAGAGCTATTTCCATGGATGTTATTCCCAAGAAAGATCTGGACATCTTGCTACATGAAGACTGACTTTCTTTTGCTTTGGGAATAAATTAAACCCACACCTTTATTTTCTGATATCTTGAACAAGTTATTTCCCTCCCATAGGGGTCTGAGATGAATCTTATTTCTCATCACAACACCCACTGCAAGTGTTAGAATTTTAGAATTAAGAAAAATAATTAATTAATTAAGAAAGAATTTGAAACCAAGCCTTGCCCTTGATACTTGTAGCCCAGAGGCATAAGCAGGCATAAAGCTTAACCTAAGAGTCCTGCTGTGCAGGCAACAGAATCCACTTTAATTTTCAAGGGCTTAAATACCTTCCCTTTCTTTTCCACATTGAGTTTCAAGACCTTGGATGTAAGTTGCCTGCTTTTTTTTTTTTTTTTTTTTTTTTTGTGGAGAGAGCAAAATATATGTTTTCATCCTAGTTGAAAACACCTTATAGAAAGTTCTGCCTTTACCTTATAGAAGTTATGCTAGCCTGGGACTTGAACCTTGCAGCCTGTTCCTCCCTGGACCGGGGCTTTGTAGACAACATTTGGGTGCAGCAGCCCCTCAGCGCCTGTGTGATGCCATTTCCCTTTATCCTCTCACCAGAAGACTGACACAGCGTTTAGCTAAGTGGCTTTTTCACCCTCGGGTCAAGTTCTTTACAAACACTTGTGTCCTTGCTCACTGTATGGTCTGGTTTGATCTCAGGACCTGCTGACTGCGAAGTGCTGCTGAAGCATCAAGGCAGCAGTTGAGGTTCCTCATCCTGACATGGAGCAGCTCCTCTTCCTCATGATGGGGCAGATGGTGCAGCCTTTAGCGCAGGGAGTCTGTTCCCATCACCAGAACTGAAAATTTAAAGTCCCTTTATCTCCCTGCAGAGTGACTGTTTCATGTTTTCTCTCTGCTTGAGAACTGGAGACTGCTCCCTTAGTCCTCCCTGCAGCCATCAGCCCTGTCGTAGTCCCCAGGGGTCACTGCCTGATGTGCTGAAGGCTGAACCCATTGGGATGGACTTTTCTCACTGCACCATCAACCCAGATTTTGTGTTTTTCCCCTTGAACACTGTGTGAGAAGCCAGCCTTCCAAGCTGCCTACAGCTGCTGCCACAAGCAGAGTAAATCCTGGGGGCTGCATTAAAGGACCTGGAATTACTGAGCCCTTCACACAGGGGTCTGTTTTCCATTTCTTCACATCTTAACTTTTCAGAGAAAGGGAGGGCACAGAGGAGACTGAGGCAGCCTTGGGCTTCACCCTGCATGAAAACATGCTTCATTAAACAGGTGTTTGGCCAGCAAGCGCTCTTTATTTTTTAAAACACATGAAGGTTTCTTCATTGCTAGCAGAAAAAAAAATTGGCAGGTCCTTTTGAACATGCTATCGCATGCTGGAATAGGATCTTGAACACAGGCTTGAGAGGTAGAAGCTTCCTGGATGTTTTTGGAGCTTCTGGTTTTGGTGAGAGTGATTCAGGCTGTTCTCGAGGGCTTATATATATATATGTGTGTATATATATATATATTTCAGCTACATGAAGGTTTTTCCTGAGTCACAAAGTGAACTGGGTGGGATGCTATGTTGAGTTGCTACTGGTGGAAAAAGCACAGCTTAACTGTGTTTCCACTGAGCATCTGCTGCTAATTGGGAGCTGCGTGAATTGAAGCTGGTATCCTGTGTGTTGTGGTATGGAGAAGGTTCCACACTCATGTTCTGGAGCATGTGCCACCCCACCTGTGTGTTTGTGTGTGTTACAGCAGGACTTTCCCTCTTCTCTCTCCTAATCCAACTTCTTCCATTTTTATTACACCTTATCTCCTTGTTCATATTAAAATAGATAAATAGGTGTTAAATACGTGTTAATTTCTTAGTTGCATCACAACTTCAGACCTCCGTCTACATAGATGAGTGCTAGCACTGGACAGGTTTTGTAAACCTTACTAATATTATTAATTAGCTAATAAAGCAATATTCTGGCAGGTAAATGTTATACTCCTGAAAACTGGGCCCCTTCTAAAACAAAGCATTTCCTCTAGTATGTTTTTTCTGTCTTCTTCCAACAGGCAGTATTTGTACTGTCATCAGCTTTTGTTCCAGAAGTGTCTCCTAGCAAATGTTGGTTTTTTTTTTTTTGTTTGTTTGTTTTTTTTTGTTTGGTTTTTGTTTGTTTTGGTTTGGGTTTGTTTTGTTTTGTTTTGTTTTTTGTTCTCTGTGTCTTGATTTCCTTCCCTATAACTGGTTTTCTTTTGGGGCCATGTGTGTCCGCAGGTCATCAAAGCTGGAGTGGAGACAACCTGTAAATGCCACGGTGTATCTGGATCCTGTACTGTCCGAACGTGCTGGAGGCAGCTCTCTCCATTCCATGAAATAGGGAAGCAGCTGAAACAGAAGTACGAGACATCGCTTAAAGTGGGCAGCACCACCAACGAGGCCACAGGGGAAGGAGACATCTCCCCACCCAAGAAGTCCATCCCTGGTCACAGTGATCAGATCCCAAGGACTACGGATCTTGTCTACATTGACGATTCCCCAAGCTTCTGTATGATGAGTAGATACTCACCTGGGACTTCGGGAAGGAAATGCTACAAAGACAAGAACTGTGACAGCATCTGCTGTGGGCGAGGGCACAATACGCAGAGCCGGGTGGTCACCCGTCCATGCCAATGCCAGGTCCGTTGGTGCTGCTATGTGGAATGCAAGCAATGCACCCAGAGAGAAGAGGTTTACACCTGCAAAGACTGACGCGTCTTCTGCTTGATGGCAACCCTTGGTGACGGGCGATGGTGATCTATGAGAACTACATATGGAGACAAACAGGGTTTGATTGACCTTCTGGGATCTGAAAGCTATGTTGAGACATAAGCACTTTGTAGGGTACAGGTGACCCAGCTGTGTTGCTGTTTTGTTTTTGTTTTGTTTTGTTTTCCTGTAGACTGAATTTTAACGAGGTCCAACCATGTGGAAATAAGTGCCTGTCACACTGGGGTTAGAAACCAGTTGACCTTGACCTTAGTCATCTACGCAGTCTGATGGATCATTTACCCTTGGAACATCTTGATCATTTCACCAATCCTCCATGAACTCCTGGGCTAATATATTTTATTTGGCATAAATAACCTATACTACTTTATTCCTGAAGGTTACCCAACTGCTTAGAGAGCTAAGCAGATACGAAAGAAAGATCTTTCTACTTTGAATGCGATAGTACTGGAAATGGTCATTTATTTCCCCTTCTAAAACTGGAGAGGTGTATAGGGTAAGCAAGACCAGCCCTGGATGGTTCCTCCAGTGGAGTTTCTGCACACTGAGCAACCCAGGCTCTGACAAAGAGACCCACTGGGAGGGTAAGCTTTTTAACGACAGCTCTGTATCTGCATGCTTTGATCACCAAATACAGCTCAAAAAATGTTGGGTCCACCATGTTGCAGACAGAAATATATCCAAGAAAGAGGTTGAGAAGACAGTAGAAAACCAGATGTGCCTGTCCCCTTCAGTTCAATCACATATTCTTTTTTTAAAACAATTTATTCAAATGCAGTTTCTTTAGCACTATTGCTGTCTTAATTTTTATTTTTATTTTTTAAAAAAAACCACTAGATACTTTTGTTTCATTTTCACTCTGTACATGATTTATTTTTCTCTCCTCTTCCCACCTCTTGTTGATCAAATTCACCCTGTGGTAACTGCTTCAGAAATCTGAACTGGAATTTGTTAGTCTTATGCCAGCTGAATTTGGACATGTGTTTCTGAGTAGGACAAGAGAAATTTGCGTGCATCCTGGAACGCAGTGCTGTCTTGCCTTGTATAGCAGCCATTTTGGACTGGATCAGACCTTGGGAGGAGTTGACTTCTCTTTTAGTAGGTCATCATTCCATTTACTCTAAACCATGGCAGTGGTACATGACACAAGCTGTATGTAAACCCTATGACCTTAAGATTCTTTTTTTTTTTTTTTAACCACTAGATCGAGAACTGTATTTTAAAAATACAACTGCTAAATGGTAACCAACTATTGGATTTGGAACAACCAATCAACGCAGAGACAAATGATCAAGTGGCCAGAGAACCCAGAAATTGATTGCAGTCGTAGGTCGCTCTGATGCTGTGAAATAGATGACAACCTTGAGCATTTCTTTCTTCCTTTGAAGAATGAGACTTACAATCCAGGACTCAATGCAGCAATATCCTTCACTCATATAAAAGTGGATTGGAAGCAGCCCATGAATGCCTCAACAAAGCTTTCTAAGGAAACACTGGAGAGCGGAGGGCATTTTATTTTATTTTTTGTAGCAATTTTTGATTGTCCAAAGTAACAATTTCCACCGATTTTATATAAGCCATTGTTCTGATTCTCAAAAGAGGAAAGTTGGCTGGAGTTTTTCAAGCAATAGCAGATGTTAGCCAAACAAAAAGAAAGCAGTTTTCCAAGATGGACCATTATTTTTCAAAGTGGTTTTTCTTTACTTTGGTTTTGGTTTTTTTTTTTTTTTTTTTTTTTTGTTTTGTTTTGTTTTGTTTGTTTTTTCCCCCCAAATAGTAGCCACTAATATTTAAGCTGTTCATGTGCATCTACTGGGAGGAGAAAAGATTTGTTTTTTTTTTGTCTTGGTAACAAATACCTGCAGTCCAGCCTGGCTCATTGGCATCAAATCTTGAGGTAGGGACACGGGGAAGGACAGGATGTTACTGTTAATATCACTGTTGTCCTGCAAAGTGAAACGTACTGTCTCTTCTTTGATATTTTCTTATTTGCTGTACAATTCTGGAGGTTGGGGTAGTGCTGGAGAAGGCGGAATCTGCACGCGGTGTTTGTCCCTTCCACCATGGCAAATGAGCGGTGGTGCATTTGATGCAGAAAGTTTGCAGGAAGGTCTCGCAGCTTCTGGCAAATGCACCGCTTTGAAAGTCACCCATGAGCAGTTTATCCAATGGTTTAAATAATAAACTGATTAGAAACCTATTATTCTGTGTGTGCGTGTGTGTATATATGTACACACACGCTGACACATAAATATATATATATATATAAATATTGAATGAACATTTATTTATTGTAAAGCCCTTCAGAAGGACCTTCTTATGGTTTCAATGTGGTATTATGTTAAATTCTCTTTCTCCCCCTGTCTCTCTCTCTCTCACACATATGTGCAAACTCACTGTTACATTTTTGTGTGTGTGCTAGAATAGCTCTTCCCCTCCAAAGTAAGGACAGATCCAAACCTTCTCAAAACATGAGGATTTTTGGGTCTGAATTACTATTTCTGGCTCCATTCTTTTAAAAAAATATTTGTTCTTAATTAAAGAATGGGCTGCAATTTATGTGCATTATTATTATTATTATTATTATTAATTATTATTATTATTATTGTTATATTTAAACCATGGGCCTCATTTTCCTTCTTTTCACTGGTGTCTCTGTCTCCGTTGACCTCGCTGGAGTAACTCCACATTGCACTGGTGTGAGAGGAGAATGAGTCCCTAGATGCAGAAGAGAGGGCAGTGTTGGCATAGGTATCATTGCAGAGAAAATGCCTGGGTCGGATGGGGTAGGGTAGCTTGGTGTGTTTGGCAGTGGCGGGGAGAGAGAGATGGGTGGGCAATAAGGCAGACTGTCAAAGCTTGACTTAGAAGAAAGCGGCAAAGAGTGAATGAACTACTGAGTGAAAGAGCTCTTCTGTGTATTATAACTCACGCACTGAAGCCTGGATGCTTTCTGTAAGTATTTAAAAAAAAAAAAAAAAAAACCCCAAACAAAAAAACACCATAAAAAACAAATTGTATTTATATTAATGTGGATATATTACTTGCCTGTTATATATTGTAAATAGCAAGGTTTATTCTCCTGTGGTTAAAAAAATTATAAATAACTAAATAGTAGCGAGGCACATGTGTTAAATGTATAGGCAGTGTATAAAATATACTAACACTCTGAAATCAGGAGAACTCGTCTTCTTGGCCTTTTGACCTAGGGTGATAAAACATATGTGGGTTATTTTTCTTCTTCCCCCCACTGCGTTGTGTGTGCTTTGGGTGGGGGTGTGTTTAGTTCCAGCATGTTCCAATGTTTGCCTTATCTTTGAAGAAAGAATGGGGGGAAAAGTCTCGTTTTGGAAAAATCCAGTGGAGCTTGAGTAGAATGAAACAAGTAGCAGCTGGTAGAAAAAATGTCAAACCCTCTCAAAACCCTCTCAAGTGCTTGACCTGGGTTTTCTGCTGGTGATAGATGTGTGTTGGAATTAAATTAACCTATGGAGCCGGAGCTTATGCTTGTGCTACTCCATACAAGTGTCAGAAAACCCTAGATAAGAAACCCTGAAGTCTTCTATAAAATGTTGGATAGTGTCCTGTAAAACCCTTTTTATTCCAGCTGTGTGAAATTGGATTTTTCCAGAGAGGCTAATTATACCACCACACCAATGGATCTCCAGTGCAATTCAATGAAATTGCTTGTTTTTGTAAAACTACTACAAGAGTGGATTTGGGTCCCTGAATCTTTCGTGGTGTCATTTCATATATATATATATATAAAAAAGTGCAAAGCAACTTTTTCCTTTTTTCTTATCCCCAGAGAAATAGGTTTTTGCAGCAGAAGTAACTGGAGAAGGATGGACGGGTGTAGGGGAAGTCTCTGGTTTCTGATCCCCTTTCACCCCCTGTCCCCCCAAAAGTGTCAAAATGTTGGTTCTCCTAAGCTGATCCAGCAAGATTTGCGTGATCAGTTTTGGGGTGGGGGGGTGCAACCATTATTTATATAACTTTTTTATTAATTTTTTAAAAAGAGAAGTTAGCTGATGGAAGAATATTTTTATTGAATAGTGCATTTAGTTATGTCAGAAATATAAAAAAAATATATATAATATTTTTGTAAACAAGGCAAACTGAAAATGTTTGCTGTTTTATATTAGAATTTTCTATTAAAAGAAATAAAAACCCACAGAAATAATTGTTGCACCCGTCATCTGTTTTTTAACAAGCTTCTATTCTGTGTGACTGACTCATATATGCCGGATATGGAGACATGCAAAACAAGTCCTAAACATTACGTTCTTATTATCTTCCAGATCTCAAAAGACTCCAGTTGCTGAAACAAGTGTTTAATCAAAGGGGCTTTTTTTTTTTTTTTTTTTTTTTCTTTTACTCTGGGCACTAAAAAGCAGTTATAAAGAATGAGTAGCTTCTAATTAAAATATAAAAACCTACCCCAAAATTTCAAGCTTACCCTTTCTCAGTTGTGTATCCAGGTCTTGAGATGGCTCTGGATAGAGGAAAGCTGAAACCTATTTACAATAACCAGATATTTGCCGTTGATCCCAGTTGGCCTGGGAAGAATTACACTTAAAAAGATTGTCGTGGAAAAAAAAAAAAAATAATGTGAGTACATGGGAAGGTTAAATGAAGAGGACCAAATTCCGGGCTTGATCTAACATAAGCAATTTATCTATTTGAATGGGGCAGTGTAAAAACTGGGAACTTGGTCTGCTGTGGTTCAGGAAGCCTGTCGTTCACCTTTGGAAGCAGGGGATGAGTTATGGACCATCTGTTTTCAAAAGAGCTTTGAGGATTGCTGGTTTGGAGAACCTGTGCAGGGGCAAAATAATTTCTGAGGATTTTTTTTGCGGTTGGCCAGCTTGTACACATCTGCCTTCCTTCAGCTCAGGTCTTGAATTTCTCTGTTAATCATTTTTCAGCTGCCCTATTTTAGCCAATATATATTAGGTTGGTTTGGCTGTAGTAGTGTTGGATGAGAACACAGATGAAGGGACAGATTTCTTAAGGGTACTTTCATGGAGTAGATGCTGCTTAAGGTAATTTTCTGGTGGATTACAGTGCCTGTGAAAAATTCCTCAGTTGATGTTGCAGTAAAATTAGGTC